TGTACTTCAGAAGACCTCGTTCCAGCGCTCTATAATTGTTCGTAGAGTTTTGACGTAGCCACAGTGTCACAACACGTCTCTACTGCGTAATAAAGTGCAGGGAGTACGGAATCGAACAGGTGGCTCGAAGCTCTGAGTCCGTCACAATTAGTCTGTGGCTCCCTATGAAAGCCCGAAAAGCCCAAACTGCTCTTCGCCTCCTGTTTAGTTCTTGTTTCAAATCGTTCTCTACGTTCATCAAACGCCCGAGTTATATGTAAGAAGAAGTCTCTGTGCTTGGAAAGCCTTTTAATTCCATTTTCTGATCCTCGCAAAGCGTTTCATGAACTGATTGTTCTTTCGATTGACTCGCAGTCCTATCTGCTCCCTACTTCGTTTAGTTCTTTCATCGTATCCGCTCACTGATATCCCCCGAAAAGAGAACAGTGCTGCAAAACTAAGGTACGAGAGGAGTCTTATATCAACTTGTATACCTCTTACAATGACATTACTCATTACCCACTGCCAGGCCATAAACAGCTTTGGCGATACGGTGTCGCCTGTCACCTCTTTTTTGAAATAGTTATACTAAGCAGGCGATGGAAAAGCGGTACCTAAGGAACAGTGTAGTAGTCGGGTAAGATGGGTCTATTTCTTGGTCGACGAGCGCTGACAGTGCGGCATTAGCCTCGACGCTGTCAAAAGCTATCTCATAGTTGACGAAGGTTAGGACGAGAGATTGGTGACACTTTTGGCAAACCTCGATGATGTTCGCGTCTGGATCCACGCAGCTGAATCCTCTCACCTTGTTCTACAGATTGGGCTTCATCCAGTGTTCTATGCGAGGGAGGATAACGTGAATAGCTTGTAAAGCACGCCATCAGGCATGTTGGACGGTGGTGAAGATCCTCCCTATCGCCCTTCTTATGAAGAAGGATTGTTTGTGAGATTCTCCACTAGCCTGAGATCCTTTCCTAGAAAGCAAGGCGTTAGATGTGCCGCAAGTATCTCGTGTATGCGATGTCCTTCAGCTTGTAAGACGTGAAGTTAGCGTGCATTTGTTATTTTTTTAGCCACCATGTATTACTTTTTGAAGATCTGGGGAACTATAGTTGTCTATAGAGTTGCAATTTTTATTTTCTGCAACTTTTGTCTCTTTGCCATTCATTCTTTACAGCCTCTTTTTCTCTCGTTTCTCTTTGTAGTACACTTTCCTGTTTCCAACCTGCCTTTTTGCGTTTTGTGATGTACCAGATGCCTGTCTTTTGAGTTTCTACTTTCTTTGAGATCAGTTTGGCTAAGCTAGCTAAGGTCTTCCTTTATCCCAAATTGCTGTGATTGACTTTCATGTTCCACAATTTACAAGATTGTGGTTATCTGCTTACCGCTTTCATTCAGGATTACACCGTTTGTCTCCAACCCAAACAAGATTGTTAAACTTACAGGTTAATGTTTAGCCCACCAGTCCTTGGCAGGCCACTCCTATATTCGCAGGAATCATTTTGTTCTTTAGATTGACTTGCCAGGGAATCCAAACTGTGTTGTTAGGTTGGTGGACATCTAATGTGAACTTCCAGTCCGGGCCATCCATTTGACCACATGGGTGGGGACATCTCCCGCCGCTTATCTTCTTTGGCGGTTGACGATCTCAACTATATGTGAAACTATAGGTATTAAGATTTCAGTTTTCTGTCCCGTCTTGGTTCATTATGTTTTAACTTATTCAAATCCATACTCTGACTGTATTGAAATACAAATTAATTATGCCAAAATTTCCACTTCCATAGATTTTTTAGTTTTTAAAAAACGGTACGAACCTAACCGAAAAACTAGTGTTGCAAAAAAATATTTTCTGCCCTTGTTTATGTTGTCTTGCGTGATGAATGTTTTAATCAGAAAATGACTGAACCGGTCATTCTAGGCGCATTAACTATAAGTAACCCATTGACAACCGCCCCACTGTTTGAGGTCCAACCTTAAAAAGCACAAATGTCATGATCACAACAGGTTCTGAAGGAGTGCACAGTCAAGTTTGCGCACCCTTATAAAACTTGCTAATATCGTCTCAGCTAAGATACTCCCAAGATGCCAAGCGGCTATAGTAAATATCGAGGAAGAGACTTAATCCACTGACTAGGTTTGGTGACGAGTTCAAGCCACTAATTTCCGAGCAGCAGATCCCAATTCTACTTCCA